TGTGCTGTGTTGTGCTGTGTTATGTTGCTGTGTGCTGTGTTGCGCTGTTGTGTGCTGTGTTGCGCTGTTGTGTGCTGTATTGTGCTGCTGTGTGCTGTGTTGTGCTGCTGTGTGCTGTGTTGTGCTACTGTGTGCTGTGTTTGTGCTGCTGTGTGCTTTGTGTTGTGCTGCTGTGTGCTGTGTTATGCTGCTGTGTGCTGTGTTGTCTGCTACTGTGTGTGTGTTGTGCTGCTGTGTGCTGTGTTGTGCTGCTGTGTGCTGTGTTATGCTGCTGTGTGCTGTGTTATGCTACTGTGTGCTGTGTTGTGCTGCTGTGTGCTGTGTTATGCTACTGTGTGCTGTGTTGTGCTGCTGTGTGCTGTGTTATGCTGCTGTGTGCTGTGTTGTATGTTGCTGTGTTTGTGCTGCTGTGCTGTTGTTGTGCTACTGTGTGCTGTGTTGTGCTGCTGTGTGCTGTGTTGTGCTGCTGTGTGCTGTGTTGTATGCTGCTGTGTTGCTGTGTTATGCTGCTGTGTGCTGTGTTATGCTGCTGTGTGCTGTGTTATGCTGTGTGCTGTGTTATGCTACTGTGTTTGTGCTACTGTGTGCTGTGTTGTGCTGTGTTTGTGCTGCTGTGTGCTGTGTTATGCTACTGTGTGCTGTGTTGTGCTGCTGTGTGCTGTGTTATGCTGCTGGTGTGTTTGTGTTGTGCTTTGCGTGTGTGTGCTGTGTTATGCTACTGTGCTGTGTGTGCTCTGTGTGTTTATGTCTGCTGTGTGTGCTGTTGTTGTATGCTGCGTTGTGTGCTGTGTTGTGCTACTGTGTGCTGTTTATGCTACTGTGTGCTGTGTTGATGCTGCTGTGTGCTGTGTTATGCTGCTGTGTGCTGTGTTATGCTGTACTGTTTGCTGTGTTGTGCTGCTGTTGTGCTGTGTTATGCTGCTGTGTGCTGTGTTGTGCTGCTGTGTGATGTGTTATGCTACGTGTATGCTGTGTTGTGCTGTGTGTCTGTGTTATGCTCTGTGTGCTGTGTTGTGCTGCTGTGTGTGCTGTGTTATGCTACTGTGTGCGTGTTGTGCTGCTGTACTGCTGTGTTATGCTCTGGTGGCTGTGTTTGCTCTGTGTGCTGTGTTGTGCTGCTGTGTGCTGTGTTATGCTAGCTGTTTGCTGTGCTGTGCTCTGTGTGCTGTGTTATGCTACTGTGTGCTGTGTTGTGCTGCTGTGTGCTGTGTTATGCTACTGTGTGCTGTGTTATGCTACTGTGTGCTGTGTTGTGCTGCTGTGTACTGTGTTATGCTACTGTGTGCTGTGTTATGCTACTGTGTGCTGTGTTATGCTACTGTGTGCTGTGTTGTGCTACTGTGTGTTGTGTTATGCTATCGTGTGTGCTGTGTTGTGCTGCTGTGTGCTGTGTTATGCTGCGTGGTGACGTGTGTTGTTGCTGCTGTGTGCTGTGTTGTACTGCAGTGTGCTGTGTTGTGCTGTGTTTGTGCTGTGTGTCTGTTTTGCTGCTGTTGTGTCTGTGTTGGATGTTGTAGTGCTGTATTGTGCTGCTGTGTGCTGTGTTTGTGCTGTCTGTGTGCTGTGTTGTGCTGGCTGTGTGCTGTGTTGTGCTGCTGTGTGCTGTGTTTTATGCTGTTGTGCTGTGTGCGCTGTGTTGTGCTGTGTGTGCTGACTGTTTGTGCTGCTGTGTGCTGTGTTGTGCTGTTGTGTGCTGTGTTGTGCTGCTTGTGTGCTGTGTTGTGCTGCTGTGTGCTGTGTTGTGCTGCTGTGTGCTGTGTTGTGCTGCTGTGTGCTGTGTTGTGCTGCTGTGTGCTGTGCTTGTGCTGCTGTGTGCTGTGTGTTGGGGCGGCTCTGTGTGCTGTGTTATGCTACTGTGTGCTGTGTTTTGCTACTGTGGCTGTGTTGTGCTATGCTGTTGCTCGTGTTATGCTACTTTGCTGTGTTATGCTTATGTGTGTGCTGTGTGTCTGCTCTTGTGCTGTAGTTGTGCTACTGTGTGCTGTGTTTATGCTACTGTGTGCTGTGTTAAAGTAGCTGCTGTGCTGTGTTATGCTGCTGTGTGCAGTGTTGTTGCTGATGTGCTGTGTTGTACTGTGTGCTGTGAGCTCGTGCTGTTACTGTTCTGTGTCTGGTTGCCTTGTGTGTGTGTAGCTGTAGTGTGCTGTAGTGATGCTGTGTGACTGTGTTTGACTGCGTGTTGTGTGTGCTGTTGTGCTGTGTTTGCTGACCGTGTGCGTGTTGTGCGCTTGTTTGTTGTGGTCTGTTTAGCTGTTTTCCGTGCGCTGTATGTGTGCTCTTGTGTGTGTGCTGTCTTTGCTGACTGTGGCTATTTTCGTGACTGCTGTGTGTTCCGTTTGCTGCTGTGTGCTGTCTTGTATTGCTGTGTGCTGTGTTGCTGCTGCTGTGTGCTGTGTTGTGCAAAATTATGTCTGTATAATTTAATTCAGACCAAAATGTTAGATATCTATTATTTTATATAACTTCTCGAATTTCTATTTATAAGAACCATATTCCAAATCAAATTGTCTGTTGTCTTCGCCTTTATATATCATAACTCAAAAATTAAATGGTCCACGATATTTTTATAACTGGATTGGTGGTCCATGGGCTGAAACGAGTTGAGGACCACTGCCTTAGAGAATATTGTTACATATAACTAATTTGTGTCTGCAACTGGGAGAGCTGGAAACTAACACAGGTGAAGAAATTATATATTTGTTTTTGATATGTGATGTGTTGTAGTCTGTGTGTCCGTAAGAAGACACAGCATCAGGGCGCAGTACACTGTACATGTTTGGTTTCCATTCAGTAGGTAGGGGTAGGTAAGGTTCGTCAGGAAACAGGACAAATGTTTCCTGACGCGGGTGTTAGTCAGAATATGACCCGCCTTTGGAGCTTTTGGTCATCTGACCGAGGCCTTCCGCTGGCTTACCGGTCCACCCCTTTAAAAATTATGGTCATTTATAACCTTATTTTTCCATTCAGTGTATTGCATCTTGATGCTGTTGCTTCTTTTGACTGATTTCTTATGGAACTAAATTTTTCAGTGTAAGACCTGATTGAGTTCCAGTTCCTGGTGCTCTAATGTATTTTAAATTTATTAACGAAAATGCGCTGCTCTCTACTCCTGAACCTCTTTGGAGGGTTGTGCTAATCCGAAATGACTAATATTCATTTAAATCAACGTAACAATGCCTAGTGGAGTCTGCAAAGACCCATTACGACTTCTCTAATCCTGTTTTTATTTACTTGCGTTACGGCTCATAGGATGAGATGCTGTTGCACAGTAAATTAACCGCTCAGGCGACACCACTAAATTCTTTCATCTCTCGAGGATGTTAAGCAAACTTTTGTTTGCTCCTTGAGAGTAATTAAGCGGTACAGCTGCTACATGTCTTGAGCTGCTACATGTCTTGAGCTGCTACATGTCTTGAGCTGCTACATGTCTTGAGCTGCTACATGTCTTGAGCTGCTACATGTCTTGAGCTGCTACAGTCTTGAGCTGCTACATGTCTTGAGCTGCTACATGTCTTGAGCTGCTACATGTCTTGAGCTGCTACATGTCTTGAGCTGCTACATGTCTTGAGGTACCCGGAGCTGGAGCTATGGGATGAGGAAGATATATTTTCAGATAGCCAGAAATGAAGTATAAATTTCAATCAGCATCCAGTGTTCCGTCGATCTGTATGTATAGCTAGTAAGATTATTCAGGTATACACAAAGACAGTTACATAGAATATCATACATAGCAACGTATGTGTAGAGAACCTAGGATAACTAACTTGGATAACCTAGGATAACCCATGAGGCTCACTAGGTTGCCTGTATCTCCGAAAGTATAGAAGATAATGTATACTCTTCGTAAAAATGCTTTAAGAGGTATATATCTTTCAGTGTATCATCAATAGTGTGGAGAGGGATCCATATTAGATGATCGGGGAGAAGGCCATGTGAAACGGACGGAGAGAGGACCATGTTAGATGAACGGAGAGAGGGCCATGTTAGATGAACGGAGAGAGGGCCATGTTAGATGAACGGAGAGAGGGCCATGTTAGATGAACGGAGAGAGGGCCATGTTAGATGAAGAAAGGTTGTCCAGTAGTCATTTCCGGAGGTCACCGCACCCACGACCCGGTCTCACATCGGAGGGAGGGCCATGTTGGATGAACGGAAGGAGAGCCATGTTATATGGAAGGAGGGCCATGTTAGATGAAGGGAAGACCATGTTAGATGGACGAAGGAAGGGCAATGTTAGATGTATGGAGGAAGGGCCATGTTAGATCGACGGAGGAAGGGTCATGTTAGATGGACAGAGGGAGGACCATGCTAGACAAAGGGAGTGCCATGTTAGATGGAGGGAGGGAGGCCATGTTAGATGGACGGAGGTAGGGCCATGCTAGACAAAGGGAGGGTCAAGTTAGATGGAGGGAGGGAGGCCATGTTAGATTGATGAAGATAGGGCCATGTTTGATGGGTAGAGGGAGGGCCATGTTAGATGGATGGAGGTAGGGCCATGTTAGATGGACGGAGGTAGGGCCATATTAGATGGACGAAGATATGGCCATGTTAGATGGGTAGAGGGAGGGCCATGTTAGATGGACGGAGATAAGGCCATGTTAGATGTACGAGAAGTTGAAGGACTGACGATGGAATGATGCTGGATGAGTTGATGAGTATAAGGTTGAGTATATGTCAGTAAGACCAAACTAGATGGAAAGATAAACAGACACCTTAATTGATGGGCAAATGGATGAATATGTGATTTAGCATCTGGATGTATGACATACTGGATAGTTGGGTCAGTAACTGAGTTTGTTGGTTGATTGATGGGCTAGATTGGTAAAGGGAGGGCCAGGTAGGTTTACTGGAGGAGGGGTAAGGTCCTGGAGGTAGGCTGGCGGGCAGGAGGGAGGGATGGATGGAGGACTGGAGTGCGGGAACAGTGAAAGTGGTGGAGTGTGTGTGTGTGTGTTGGTCTGGCTCAGCAGGTCGCTAGCCACTGTGTCAGTTGTGCCGCGGACGCCATTCTGGCCACACTAGTTACTTGCGCCTACCCTCCTGCGCCTCCATGCGCACGCCCACTCTTCTGCCTTCCATATTCCATCTTCACAAAGCTCTTAACTTCAGATGAATATTTACTTCAATTTTTATTTCCTCTCTTTAACGTTTGTAAAAAAATCTGGGTGACTTCAACGCATTAGTATAAAATTATCTAAGGATCTTTGCCCGGGGCCATCATCGTAGCCACCCGTAAGGGCACCATAGAGGGCGTGACGTCAGTTCAAGGACGCCTCGGGGGGTGGAGCAGCCCCAGCGAGGACGTTGTGCCTGGCACTCCAGCGACACCCGAGTAGTCAGACGCCAGCCACCAGCAGCCCCACACCTCTCACGGACGCACCACCACCACACCTCCCACGGACGCACCGCCAGCATCACCACACCTCCCACGGACGCACCACCACCACCACACTAGAGGCACCGCCTCTCAAGCTTCTTCTTGTGTGTACATGTGTGTGAGAGCAAGTGTGTGCTAGGAAAAGCAACAGTCATGTGTACTTGCAGAATTATCGTGTGTGTTGCTATAATAACCATTAGGTGTTATTAATCAGATCTCTGGACACGTGTAATCTTGATAGTTCTCCCCGCCTGGAGAACTCTTCCAGAGAAACAGTTCTCTCTTGCAATATTAGAACCAGAACAAATATCGTTCTTTGAGATTCAGTGATTTTTTTTTTAGTGCGGTATTGTGGAAAAATAATCATGATGGTCTGCGTAAGGACAGTGTCACTGGTGGCGATTCTAGGAGCCGTCCTAGCCACCTCCTCCCAGCCCGAGGATCTCCTAGCGCCCAGCAACGACAATATTAAGGAAGAGATCCCGTCACAGGGAGATGACATCGTCTCGCGGTTCACCAGACAGGCTGAAAGGTGAGTTGTGTGATCATCCACACTCCAAGCATTTTCACTTCCATCTTCCCCTAGGTGAAGTTACCCATGTATGAAGCTATCGTATGCTCGTTTATCTCAAAAACACGCGTCAGTAGCTCAAAACAAAAATTCGATATATTTTTATCACTTCTGCGAGACATTCATAATTACACTCTTTCACTTTCTCGACTGTTGCCATGACCCAGACAGAGTCAATTTTGTGGCCGAATTCTCTCGTGTTTTGCCTGCTGCTGGTCTTACTTACACGACTAGTTGAGTGAACATGGTACAGCAGTGTGTGTTGAGGAGTGCAGCTTGTAGAAATCATTAGGGTCTTGTGTGCTGCCCAACCCAGACATCTCAGAGCACAGGGGAAGAGTGAAGGAGGGGTGGCTGCCAACCCAGGAGACTACCCGTTGCTGGCTACTTTAACTCACCGCTGCTGCTGCTGCTGCTGTTTCTCTGTCTGTTGCGAATAGCTGTTGACTGCTAATTCTGCTCGTTGTTCTTCTATGCTGTTTCTCTGTTATTTCTGCCTATTGCTTGCTGCTCCTGATCAATACTCATGTTTTCTGTTTTTCTGTTGCTGTTGCTTGTTACGTCTCATTACTCTTTTTATTTTTGTTTTGTTTTTCTGACAGTTACTTATTACTTCAGTTCACTGCCGTTGTTTGTTCATGGTAATACCTGTTGCTATTGGTTGTTGCTCCTTGTTTTTCACTGGCCGTTGTTTTTCTGCAGACAAGTATATGAGGCAACGAGCCGACATGCACATAACGAGAGCACCTGAAACAGCGTAAGTCATTTGTAACATCGTGTCGCTCAAGCTTAAGCTTCAGCGATACTTTGTTCCACTAAAGGTTTACCGTATTCCATTTGCCTGTTTACTGCTTAACCGCATTTGTGCTGACAGCTTCGCGTATTTCTGACTGCTACTTGTCCCCCACTTACTGACAACACAAGAGTCTTTGCTGCTGCTGCTTTCCACTTGATGACACGTTTTTCGCTCTCACTTTTCCTGTGAAATACACAGGTGTGCAACACTCTGGAGATGTGCCCACATCCTCTCTCATGTGGGCCAAACATCTCCCGATATGTCCTCAGCGTTGCATGAAGCTCTTTGTTACTATAGTTCGTTAGTATTGTTCAATGTTAGCTGGAGTCTTTCTACGCAGCCTTGCGTCTTGGTGTATTCTCTCTACGTAGGCTTCCTTCTAGCAAATTCTTTTTAGTCTACGTAGCCTTGCTTCTAGCTGAAGTCTTGCTAGTATACGTAGCCTTGCTTCTAGCTGGAGTCTTGCTAGTATACGTAGCCTTGCTTCTAGCTGGAGTCTTGCTAGTCTACGTAGCCTTGCTTCTAGCTGGAGTCTTGCTAGTATACGTAGCCTTGCTTCTAGCTGGAGTCTTGCTAGTATACGTAGCCTTGCTTCTAGCTTTAGTCTTGCTAGCCTACGTAGCCTTGCTTCTAGCTTTAGTCTTGCTAGTCTACGTAGCCTTGCTTCTTGCTGGAGTCTTGCTAGTCTACGTAGCCTTGCTTCTAGCGAATTCTTGCTAGTCTATGTAGCCATGCTTTTAGCTGGAGTGTTGCTTGTCTACGTAGCCTTGCTTCTAGCTGGAGTCTTGCTAGTATACGTAGCCTTGCTTCTAGCTGGAGTCTTGCTAGTATACGTAGCCTTGCTTCTTGCTGGAGTCTTGCTAGCATACTTAGCCTTGCTTCTAGTTGGAGTCTTGCTAGTATACGTAGCCTTGCTTCTAGCTGGAGTCTTGCTAGTATACGTAGCCTTGCTTCTAGCTGGAGCCTTGTAGTAAGTAGCCTTGCTCTAGTGGATCTGCTAGTTCGTCCTTGCTTCTAGCTGGAGTCTTGCTAGTATACGTAGCCTTGCTTCTAGCTGGACTTGTGACTAGCCTGTTCTGCTGGAGTCTTGCTAGTATACGTAGCCTTGCTTCTTGCTGGAGCCTTGCTAGTATACATAGCCTTGTTCTTGCTGGAGTATTGCTAGTATACGTAGCCTTGCTTCTTCCTGGAGTCTTGCTAGTATACATAGCCTTGCTTCTAGCTGGAGCCTTGCTAGTATACGTAGCCTTGCTTCTAGCTGGAGCATTGCCTAGTCTCAGCAGTAGTCCTGCTGCTTCACTCAGCCTTCCAGCTGAGTGATTAACTCCCTGACACACTTATTTTGATGTAGCTCGTCTCTCACATTCAAAGGTTCCTTCTTCACTCTCTCTTGTTGCTCACCATCATCTTCATCACTATCACTACCTTAATCATCATCATCATCTAACCTTCGTCACCTTAACTGTCATTGATAACTTAGAAATTATAATCACCAAAAATCTGTGATTATATTACACATTTTCGTTAAGCCTTGATCGGTTTCAGTGTCTCGTTTAGTTTCCCTTGATTAAAAGTTTCCCTAATCAAGAGCCCTTGATCAAGAGACTTCATTTTTAATTCGCGAGTTAAAAATAATTTAATGAGATTCGCTTAAAGGATAAGTAGGATAAGGTGTTACAGTGTCATGTGTTTAAAAGTGTAATGAAGGCTACCTTTAACTGTTGTCTACCTGTAGTCTACCTGTCGATGATTCTGCCTGAGAGTCGGAGGGGGCGGGGGAGTGATCACCGCTCCTGAACCGTTATCAAATGTTCGTCCTCAACCGTTATCAAGTAGTACCTTTTGGACCGTTATTAAGTGGTCCGTTCTGAACTGTTATCAAGCGGCCCTGTCCCGGACCATAATCTAGTGTTCTGTCCCGGGCCACTATCAACTTGTCAGTCCAGGACTACCATCCAGTGGTCCCTCCTAGACCAGTATCAAGTGGTCCATCCTGGACCATTATCAAGTGATCCGTACTGGGTTATTATCAAGCCTCTGAAACGTTATGGGAAGTCTGCCACTGCAGAGCCACGCGAGTACATTCACGTACAGATATATTCAGAAACGAGCCTTTTCCAAACCGGTTATGGAAAAAAAGTATTTACTGTCTGTCTAGAATTTGACACGTGTTTTTGTGTACAAGGCTTGTAGGTCGTACACCTAGTATTGACAGGTGGGTGGGGGTGTGGGTGGAGAATCTCACTATATGAGATTATTAAGATCCTACCTGGAATACTTCTGACAGCTGGGAGGACTGTTGTATCTTCGTGGCCGGTCTTGAGGCCAGCCTTTCTGGTTAATTATTTGATCTAGCAAACTGTTGCTGTTAGCAACAATAAGAACGTAAAGTTATCCCTCTCTTCCCCTAAGCACGGTTAATTATAATTAGTTTTTGTTTTCGTGTTGTAAACTAATTTACCTCTCAGGAGATAATTATTGGCTCACAGATCATAAATATCTATATGTCGTGCCGAATAGGTAAAACTGTCAGTTAGCAAGAACTCATTTAAAATTAAGTTCTTTCTAAAGATTTCTCTTATACGTTTAAAGATATTTTTTTTCATTTATGTTAATGTAATAATTAATAAATTTGTACCAAAAGAACCTTAGAAAACTTACCTAACCTTATTATAACAAGCTCAATTAAATTTAGCCTAATCCAACTAAATATATTTTAGATAAGTTTACAGTAATTTAATAGTAAAAAAACACAATGAAATATATTTTTTCATTAGGTTCCGAATGATTTTTGCAAAATTAATGCATACACAAATTTTCGCTTGCCTTATTCGGCAAGAAGAGCACTGCTATATATATATATATATATAAATTATTAATATATATATATATATATATATATATAATATATATATTATATAATATATATATATATTAATATATATATATATATATATATAATTATATATATATATATTATATATATATATATATATATATATATATATATATATATATATATATATATATATATATATATATATATATATATATATATATATTATGGTGTTTATATTTGGTAAAAGGTATAGCGATGAAAAGAAATGATAGAACGCACAATAATTAACCTCGCTCAGCAGGCCATATACACACAACTTATATAAGGAATGTTTGTATGAATCATCCTTGTACCTCGATCAGGGAGGGAACAACAAGACCATGCACAACTTATTATAGTTGGGTAACTGTGGTGTTGGGTACTGTGGTGGACTCATGGAGAGATCAATTCCTTATGCATATCTGATGGTCAGACCGATCTGGAGTACTTTTGTCAAGTGACTCCTGCAGTACACTGTGGTCCAAGAGACCATCCTGGCAGTATACTGTGGTCCAAGGGACCATCCTGGCAGTACACTGTGGTCCAAGGGACCATCATGGCAGTATACTGAGGTCCAAGGGACCATCATGGCAGTATACTGTGGTCCAAGGGACCATCCTGGCAGTACACTGTGGTCCAAGGGACCATCCTGGCAGTACACTGTGGTCCAAGGGACCATCCTGGCAGTACACTGTGGTCCATGAGCACTCCCGGTAGTGTACTGTTGTGAGGTCTAATTGAAAAATTTAAATGTTATGAGGCCTACCTAAAAAAAATTCAATGATGTGAGGCCTAACTTAAAAGTTAACTTGCCAAGTAGTGTTAATTTTGTACTGGATAATTATGTGGCTTCTTGCAACCATAATTAAATGTTCACTTGTTGTACTGGATAATCTTCAGTGTTCACTTGTTGTACTGGATAATCTTCAGTGTTCACTTGTTGTACTGGATAATCTTCAGTGTTCACTTGTTGTACTGGATAATCTTCAGTGTTCACTTGTTGTACTGGATAATCTTCAGTGTTCACTTGTTGGACTGGATAATCTTCAGTGTTCACTTGTTGTACTGGATAATCTTCAGTGCATTTAACTTGTTTGTTTACTGGATAATCTTCAGTGTTCACTTGTTGTACTGGATAATCTTCAGTGTTCACTTGTTGTACTGGATAATCTTCATNGTGTTCAGTTGAACTGGCGAACTTTTCCTGTTAAACTGTTCAATAGTTGAACCCTCCTCATTAACGTGTTGAACTGGTGAACATTCAGTAATAATTTCTTGACCTACTGA